ATGGGTGTTTCAAGATGAGCAAAATCCAATAAAAGTTGTTCGCGCACGAAGCACTTCCAAACAGATGATCGCCTGTTTTTCCGCAAAAACTGGACATGTCGCAACCGTACCACTAGAACAGCGCAAAACAGTCAATTCTGAGCGGTACACAACGATTTGTTTGCCAGCTGTCTTCCAAGAAATCAGGAACCGCCAAAGACGGATTTCTCTTCCTTTGAAGAGAGAGAGCTCTCATACATCGGCTCAAACAACTGCATTTTTGAGCACCCAAAACATCGATTTGATGAGTCATCCGCCGTTTAGTCCTGACTTGGCACCGAATGACGACTTTTTATTCCCGTACGTAAAAAGACAAACTGAGAGGTCAACGTTTTTCGACACCTGAAGAAGCGGTTGCTGCATTCAGAATGCATGTTTTGGAGATACCTCAATCAGTGGCAAAAGTGCTTCGACAATTGGTTCAAACTCATGGAAAAAGTGTATAGATCTTCATTGGGAATATTTTGAAAAACAATAAAGTGATTTTTGATGATTAATATTTGTTTTTGTTCTCTACTCCTGAAATATAAAAGGCAACCCTCGTATAGAATATTTAGAGAAAATATTGACTATATACTGTTATAATTGTGAAAGTGAATAACATAATATTTTACCGTCTCTCATAAATCTAAAAATATGTGACTTTCCTACATAATAAAGTGCCTAATTTAAACCTTTTGTGAGCAGTTGCCAAATGCCCGAAACATAACTTTACAAGTCTAATGTTTTTTTTGTTGTTTTTTTACTGGTTTGGTCATTTTGTAACCTACTTTAGGTGATTAAAACATTTCTTTTCATGCCTAATTTTGTAATTTTGTTACCTATTTTAGGAGCCTAAATCATGAATTTTAGGTGCCTAAAATTTTGAGGTCTACAAATTACACTAACTTCATGTTTTCTCTTGTTTTCTTATTGTGATAGTAAGTTGGTAACCATTAACAGAATAAACAATAAATTAAGAAAATTAACAAAAAGGAGCACACACAATAAAATTGCAAATCTGTGCATTTGTACATGGTATATTCAACATTAATTTTTACAATATGACAAAATATAAAGAAATACATCAATACTGTAAGCCTTTCTTAATTTACATCATGAAAGTCAAAAACAGTCATAATACATCAAAAAAGAGAAAATCTATGTAGTTTCTCTGTAGACGTGATAAGACTCAATTGGGCAGTGCTTTGCTCTACTATTTGCAAACGTGTATTTAATAAATGAAGTGATAAATTGTTTTCAATTAACAATTATAATTACTATTTTGAAGAAAAGATACCAATTCGTCAACATCTACATCCAATAAAAAAATGATTTACATAAAACATAAATAAACTCTCCTTACAAATGATGCAAATTAGGAACTAATAATTATGTTTTAAAATAAATAAAATTGGCACTTTGAAACAAGTAATATTACATTTGTGTTTAGTTACACTAAAACATATTATGGAGTTCTTGAAATCTAGATCAATGAATATTCATTATAGATGCCTAGATGATAAGCACTTGGCTACTGGAAACTATACTAAAAAAAATATACATTCATGATTTATCTTGATATAGTTAACAACATGAACTACCAAACCCTCTAATACCCTGTTGGCATTTCAATAAAATATTATTACAAACATATGCAAGAGAAGTAAAGTGATATTCAATATGCAGTTCAATATAAAATTGGTCCCTCTAATTATGTGCCAGGAAATATGATAATTATAATCTAATATATACAAAACACACAATACAAGTTTAAGGACAATGAGAATAAGTAATTAAAATTCTCTAAAAACACAGTATTGCTTCGCAATAGGTATTTGATTCAACACTAATTTTTTAGTGTGAAACCTTAAATAAACACTATCATCTCTTATTTACAATCTGAAAAATTCCTCTATGAACTTGTAACTACACACACAAATAAACTATAAATCATATTTTATTATGACACTCATGTAATAGACAATTTATCTATTTATATACTGAAAACAACACATTTCTTTCGATTAGTAACCTCAACAAGAGTATAAATGAGTGAGTAGCTAACTATAAAAAGAGATACGATACAGGTAAACACAATATTCTACATTTTGTTTTCTCCACTGCATACAGAAATATTTATTGACTAAAATATTACATATAAATTGAAATCATATGATTAATTATAATTTCGAGTAACAAGAACATTTAATTCTACAAGAATCATCAAATGAGATTCAAATTATGACATCTTATGAAAGAAATAAAAATACTGTAAATACTGATGTGTAAACATGCTGTGAATTCCTCAAAATTTATGATTTTTAGCAAAAAAAAGTAATAAACTAACAAAACAGTAAAAGAACAAAGACAATACAACAATGTTTTGATTTGAAATTCTCAACAGAAGGGAAGATTTGACATTTAAATAGGCATCATTTCTTGTAATAGTATATGTCATCTCACAAAATTGCATATTAATGCAGGTCCCATTAGTTTTACACATTTTCCTGACAAAACAGAAGAATAATCCATAACACTGTTATTGCTTTAACAAGATTAAAAATTATTGCCACAGAAACAAAATGTTCAGGAACTTTGAAATATGTTCACGATACTTCTGGTCAACAAAGAAAAAAAGAAACCAATTAAAGGAAAAGCAAAAAATCTGTTGATAGATATTTTCTTGTAAAACAAATTGAATAGATTTAAAGAGGAGATGACCAGAAAAACACAATTGTAATTATTAAGTAAAATATACTAGCAGTGGTTCAAATAAATGGGTGCTCTTAAATTTTCAGTCTCATATTTACAACAGAAAGAAAAATATATATATTTAACTATCAACAATTATATTTTAAAACTAATAAAATATTCAACAATGGATGCACTAAGACAGTGATTAATCTAAAATGAACCAAATAGTTAAAAATCAATAATAACAATTTCAAAACATCATTACATTCATTCAAAAACAATTAACAATACCGGAAACTATAAAATGCAAATGAAGAACTAATTACAAGTCTTGAATTTTTTCTTCTTAAACCTCGGAAGAAAATTGAATTTCTACTTAATTCAAACATAACATTTAATGATGATCATGTTTAACCCATGAACAGTGAAATCTAAACATAGGGACCTCTGATTAATTGAGAACTCACAATTACTGATGAATTGCCATCAATTTGGACTAAGATACAGACAGGAGTTTCTTTGAGGTGTAGTGCAAAATATCTAATAGTCATGTAGTGATGAAGAGTTTAAAGTTGTAAGGTCAAGCTTACCAACACCACTGACAGAGTTGGCAGCTATGAACGGACAGTGGGGGAGAGAAAATTCAAAGGACAAAAGGTGATGGGACAATCTGAATTGAACAATGGAAGAGAGAGGATGCTTGTAAATACCACTAACTTAATTCAAATTTAAATTTGTATACATATATGTATATGAGAATTGTATAGGTAATATTGCACTAATGAACGAAAAGGTCAAAGCTTGAACATCATCTTTTGAACAGAAATATATGAGATTTAAAAAAATATCATTTAATCTCATGTTAAAAATTTTACTTTCAACTCTAAAAATGCATTTCATTCACAAATATATTTGTATATTTTTATTGATATTTTAATTATAATTTATTGACAACTTTCTTCATTTTTTTTTCTTTTCTTTTTATTTCCAATGGGTGGAAAATCCCCAGAAGGTGAAAATTTCTAAGGGGATGAATAACCAATATTCAAATGAATTCCCTCCTAACACTGACAGATGTTTCATTTCATTTTAAAATATGGAAAATATATCTCAAACTGATTTTAAAATAGTAATTTCATGTTCTAGAAGTCACAGTTCAAAAAAAGTATGTTCATACTTAAGGACAATGTCAGGTTTTTAAGAAAAAAATTGTCATTTTTATACATTTGATTTTAAAATTATATACACTGAAATTATCTATATCAATGAACAATTGGTTAAATATTAATTTACTCAAAACCAGGTAGTGATATTACAATTTTTCTTATTTTAAAAATTCCAAGACATAAGAATGCCCTAAAATTAGAATTCAAAATACATATTTTACATTCTGCAGGGTCTTAAATTGAAAATCATTAATTTTTATTTTCTGTTATTTTCAATGTAGGCCTACATCATGCACTTACAACATTTTAATTGAAAAGGAATTAGATTAGAAAAAATGATATAGGTGTACAAAAAAGAATGATATAAAAATGTTAAGTTGAGCAATGTGGAATAAAAAAGATAAATGATAAACTTAAGTATTCATAAAAAACATGTAAATTGGGAGATGATGTAATCAGTCTTGAAAAACATTTCTAAATTTATCTTGAAAGTGCTCATAATAATGCAGCTATTACATCAATTTATAAATATATGAAATAAAATCTCTTTTTACTTCATTCAAAAATTTTGGAAATAATAATTGGGCAATAATGAGACGTCAAATACTACTCATTTCCTTATAAAAACACAATCCAAGGCAATTTATCACATTTCTTTTGAACAATTCTGCACAACTTGAGCAATTCCACAATGACAACATTGTAGGCAGCAATCTCAATACCAGAAACTTCTTGAAAATAACATAATTGAGACTTAAAGATTATTGACTCCAATTAAAATGCAAATTATGAATAAATAATGTAAATACTGACTGGAATTAGGAAGTACTTACATTAAGGTAAAAAATGTATAAATCTTCAAAGATGGAATGATGGCCAGCTTCAAGAAAAATATAGAAATCTTCTGTTACACTGGTATCACAGGTCAACCTTCTGAATGATTTTCTCAACACTTTTTGTAAAAATGTGTCTCACTTTTCCACAGTTTGATGATGATGTTAGGTCCAAGTAATTCTTCATGGGCATGTATAGATTCATATACAAATCTGTTCCAAGTTGATACTGCAATAAGAAACCAATGATTGTGAAAAACAATTTTACTTCTGGAATATCATAATTATAAATACTTTTATGACCTTAGGGGAAATCTCTTCAGTTTTACAATACACTTTACTGAAATTATAAAAATATTTTGTAAGTGATGAATTTAGGAAGATCAGAGTAAATACATCAAGTATTGCCACATCATAATCTATAAAAATGAAGAATTTCCATCATTTACTTCAAAATATTTTACCAAAGAAATGTTTCAGTTACAGCAGCTAATAGAAAATGCAGGTAAACAAACTTTGTCTTTCTCAGGATTCAAAAAGAACATTTTCACTCTCGCAGAGACATGTCAATAGTACCAACAACTCTACATCATCACAAACTATCATGGTCTTAATTTGTTGAATCCAATGAAGTGTTCACTATCAGGGTTATTATTTCCTTTGCTTGTTTGCATGTTTTTCCCACTAATAAAAACTTTGTAATAATCTGTACTTATCAGCTTTTCTTTTAGTATGTAGTTTTGTTATTTGTGTTAGTTAGAAAGTTTAGTAATTTTGATGTAGTTTTCATCATTGTGTCAACAAACACTACACAGAGATCTTTTAATTCACTATGTACTTTTGTACCAACTTTTACAAACAACTACTGCTTGTGGCTGATATTTTGACACATTCAACATAATTATTTGTTGATCACATTAAAATTAAAACTTTGTTATATGAGTAAATAGTTATTATGATATGAGTCTGCAAAAACTGATGCGATTCTTATATATTCTTTAATTTTGTTGTATAATGAACAATATGTCCATATGTGTCAAAAAAAATAATTGACACAGTTTGAAGAAAATGATTGACTTGTGTCAGGAAACCACAAGCAATAAAATCTTGTCTTTCATGACATATTCGAAATTGGACATTGAACTTCTTGTTTGTAGGTTTCAATGTTTTTATAGAGGTTAGATTTGGACACTTTCCTTAATACATCTGTGAAAAAGGACAATAAATAAAGGGTCTAGGTCACAGCTCAAACTTGTCACGCTGGTTATCCAACTGCTTAGCAATAGCAATTCATTGGACAAGAGCTGTGGGATTGATGGAAAGCAGCTTGTAAATTTGTATTATACTGATTGTACAACATAGTTGTACACTCTTGTTCTACTTGAATATGACAGTTATGAAGTCATCACCAATAACTGTTAATGGTCTTACTACTCAATCAATTCTCAATTTTATCATCAGTTACAGTACGAGTACATATTGAAAATAAAGGAAAGTTATGAGGGAAAGGAAAATGCTGCATTGATACATCTTGGGCCCATTCATGTTACTCCATTCAACTCGTGAGAACTTCAGCTCTATGCACTGTTCTGAAAAGTGAAACACAGGCGTTTTCAATCTGTTTATGAACTTGCTGCACAGACATCATTACCATTCCCCATTGTAACACTCAGGGTAAAATCCAACACGTATTTCAGTGCAGGAGGAACTGCTTGGTACACACAAGAAGTTCACAAGCTAAATACTGAGGGAAATGTATACACCTTAACACTTACTCTTCCGGTGCTCTCAAGACTAAGCAGTTTATTGGAGAGAAAAACATAAAAACAAAAATGAAGGAATATTTAGTATCTTTCATTTCCTATTGTGTCAATACATACAAAAACAGACAATTTTGAGTTATTTTGAAATAAAGTGGGATAATTATCATTTTTACACGTTTTTTTCTGCTCTCTTTGCCAACACAAAATTGCTCTCTTTGTCAAACTGTTTTCTTTAATTCCAATTTGGGTTACAATTAAAAGGACATCAAAGAAATGTTCCACAGCAAAAATATATTTCCTGCTTATTTTGATGATGATGATTATTATCTACCAGAAATTTAGTGATAATATAACATTTTATTAAAACAATTAACTTGGTATGGTAACAGAATGGGAGAGGAACGGATACCACAAGATTTTTTTCTTCACCAGCCAGTTAGGTGGAAAAAGAAGTGAAGATTAAGAGCAACTAGGAATTTAGAGAATAGAAAGAGCAATGACTGAGAAGAACCTGAATTGGGATGAAGTCCAGGATAGGATGCAGTGGAGCCTGAAGTGCAGGATGCAGCACAAGTCCTAGAACTCCCATTTGATGACAAAATGTTAGTAAAATGCTCTTTGTTAATATATTTTTGAGTTTTTAAAGAGCAGCAATTGTTTACAGTACTGTTTTCACAATCGTACTTTTAAAGGTAGTAATCTTGAAAGTCAGGGGTGGTCATGAATAAATATTTCAAGGAAGGCGAAACATATTACACAACAGCAGTGAATTATGGGAAGGGATCCCAACCTCAATCCAATATTTTGGGTAATTTTGTTCAATTTATTGAAAACAACTGTCTCACTTATATCGTTCCATTCCAAAGCATTATTTCCATGAAGCACATGTAGATGTGATTTCAAGATATTCAGATTCTCAAAAAGTGTAGTGAGTTTATGTTACTCTGACAATAGTTCAGGAATCAGATTCAAATTGTTTTCTAGGTGATTAATATTCACTGAATTACATTGTGAATTTTTTAAATTTCATTTTTTTGTATACTTTTGATAAATTTTTCATGTTAAAATATCTATCTTTATTCCAAGTACATTCCTTAATTGACAAAAGGCATGACCAACCATAAAGCGTAGCTTTAACTTCAGTATCTGGTTAGCCATTTGTGTGAAACATACCACGAAGGATTGAAGTTTCTTATATTTTTCTCGCCAGCATAATGTACAACCATACTCAACATAGGAATAGGTTGGCCACTGGCCAAGATCCATCCCTTTTCTACATCTCGAAGATGAGAAAATGGTGTATGTAGTAGTCATTCTTTGTATCTGTCATAATATTAATGTAAAATCATATTTAAATATAAAAAAAAGTGGGTGGAAATCCGAGTCTTCCATGCCGGCAGGCAGAAAGAGAATTTGCTGGCCTATGCACAATGCACATGCGTCAAGCACAGAGGAAGCATGCTATTGTTCTAAGCTCACTGCAGGGCCTTTTCTAAGAATGTGGTGTGAAGACAGGCAGAGCCCCGGCTTGCCTACCCTGAGAAGTACAAGTAGGCACATGTGTCGGCACAAAGAGACTAGACAAATTAAATGGCACATGGGCTGATAGAAAATACACAAAATAGAAATACGTCTTTCGCCACAATAACTAAATGTTCATTACACATTTAATAGGTGAATAATACTTACACTATGTTAAAATTTTAAGTCATTAAATTTTGTTTTTCTTATGAAATGTATTAAACTAGTACATGTTCATCAGGATAGGCAGTCCTTACCCCAAGGAACAGCCACTGTTGAAAGTAATATTCGTGCAACTTTTCTTGAGCAATGGATTGAAGAAACACAGGTAGAGTGAGGGGTATTAATTATGTTAAAAAGTTGTCCACTCGAGTTTTTGATGTAAAGCCAACCTCTGTGAAACCAATATCGAACCTACATTGGCATGGCCAGATCGGGAAATAATTCAATGCTGTATACAATGATGTATGCTCAATATATTCAGAACTTTTTCATTACAGTTTTATTGATCTTCGCTCTCAGTATATCTGTGATAGAAATGCTCTATTCAAACGTTTTTTAATTACTTAAGATACTACTAATCAACCTTTCTTTCATATTTAAAATTGCCCTGCACATTTTATAATGAATGACTGGTTAATTTCTTGAATTGGAAAGCACACTTAGTTTGCTTGAAATGGCGAATCTTATTTCATTAAAATGAATTTCTTCTTTTCAACAGTGACAGTGTAAATCACAACTAACAAGACAAACGTTTTTTAATTACTTAAGATACTACTAATCAACCTTTCTTTCAAGATCTGTGGAAAGTTGGTGGAAATAATATGTAAAAAATATAGTTACATGATGTATGATAAATTGATTTCCTGGAATGTTATCTTTTCTTACTGAGTGTTTCTGTGGATTAGGGAAGGGTCATTAGCTCTTTTTGGCATTATTCTACATACCATAGAAATACTTGCCCCAAAGCAAACAGAAGCCTGGTCTAAAGGATTACTCAAAGAATACATCAAAACCTTTTCCAATTCACATGCACACGTAACTTTCTCGATAATTTTGCATTCATTGCTACTATAGGTCCTCTTTATTTTCTGAAAAGTTTGAGGTGTATTTTCTGAGAAGTTTGAGACCTGCTTCAGCCATTTCTATAGGTATTATCAAGAGAAGTACGAAGCGAAGTTCTCGTCTTTGAAAGCTACTAGCTTCTGTTCTGCACCAATTATGTTTTTAGGTTTGGAATGATGTCCTCAGTGTTCACTGTAAGCTTTTGCCTGCAACTGTTTATTGCTCAAGGGAGGAGCCATTAATCAAGAAAGTTTATTACTAACACTTCTAACATTAGGTTTGGGAATATTTCGTATCTAACACTGATATCTATACTTCAATGAAGATAATTTCAACTATCACAGTCTAAAAAGATATTTAAATTGTTTAAAAAAATTTATAAAGTGATAAAAGCATAACTGCATTCTATGAGAGAGTAATATTTCCTTACACATCCATATTCACTGAGAGGAATAGCAAAAAAATATATATATATATACTTACTTCTTCCATTGCTTTGTATATAGCATGAAACGGAGGTTGTTTAATAGCATGAAAACTTCCACGGCTACCATGCAGCACAGCTACTCCTTCATCATTGGCACTTTTGCATACATTCATGTACATGCAGTGGTCCGGTCGATAATTATATCGACATGGATAAATATATAATTTCTCTAAAAAATACAAAACAAAATTCCCGTTTGTTATTGAAGAGAAAGGAGCAAAGCTTTGGATTTTATTCTAAATAATAATAGTTTTACAACCATATTGTTATGTGCTGTATCTTTCGATTTCTATTAAAAAAAAAAGGAATATGTCACATGTAACACTCAATCTAAATAACCATTAGACATTTAGGTAGAAACCAACTTTTTCCTCGGTACCTTGTACTAAATGAAATTGTATATATACATTTTAGGATAATTTGAATAAAATCACTTTAATTTTTATAGCACCTATTTTACTTTTAAAACCTAAAATGTGATTAATTTGCCTTATTTCTTTTGATTGTGGCTTATTTTAAGTTTTTTCTTCTGTGAGCAAAACAGATAAGGATGATATTAATTTTAAGTCTCATTAATATCTACGGAGACAAATGAATATACAGGACAAGAATCTTGCGATGAAAGTCTCCATGCTACTACTACCTGATTTTGTGGAAAAGCCTGCCTCAGCTTCTGAGATTCAGAAAGAAAACAATCGTGGACTCTATTACACAAGCTGAATATTTATCTTCACCTATTGATGACAGTGTGTGAATTGTGGAGAGGAAATTGAGTAGTTGGCAGAGGTGTATCTACAGTATGACAGACAATATGGCAGGAAAAGCATGGTACAAATAATTCTAACTTGAGGACAAACAATTAAATAGTATTATTGCAAATATACAATATTCTGTGATAATACCAATTCCATACAATATTGATTTATGTTTTTATCTTTGAGAAATATATATAATAAATTGTAAAAATGTATGTTTTTATATGTTTCCTGTTTTATTTGTGCCTCTTCTATTTTAAAGCCTAACTCAGATGCTGAAAGAGGGAAATTAGGCACCTAAAACGCCCATTTTAAAACCTAAAAATCCGTGATTTAGAAATCATTCTGAACAAGTGTAGAACTACAAGTTCTGGTGGCAATGCAAATTCTTTGATGTTCAAAGATAATATTAAAGTTCATGCATCAATATTTCAGAAGTTATACATTCCTAAGAATGAAGTATTTCTATTTATTATGCTCTCCATTGTGTACAAAATTTATTGAATTTAGGATTATTTCTCAAGAGAAATAGATGATGTACAGAAGTGTCTTTTTTCTTTTGTGCCCAAAATAATGAAATCAAGAAATTATGAAATAATTTACCTGGATGAAAATGAAAAATTATGTTGATAATATCTTGATCACCCCAAGTTATTTTTAATTTGTACTCTTTGTAGATAGGTATTACATAAGCTGTCCACTGAAATGCCCTCATTCGAGTGAGATTCATCAGCATGACTCCAGAATTCACACCTAAAAAAGAAAAGGTTTTGGAAATTAAATGTACTGCAAGTTTTCATTTTGTTCCAAGACATTTCTTTTCTTTATATTATACACTTATAATAATATAAAATATTAATAAATTTATTGATATGTTAGGTTGTTATAAATACATATTTTTAGAGTGACATATACAGAAAATTCTGCACGAGTCTATGCCTGAAAAAACTTTATTACAAAAACTTTTCAGTAAATAGTAACATGTCCTTTTCCACATTTAACATAAAATGAAGCAGGAAAGAAAAAAATTACTGTGGATAAAAGAAAATTAAAATGTAAGTTTAAGTGAAAAAGAAACAAACAAACAAACAACTGTAGTAGAAAAGCAAAAAGGTGTAGGAACCTATTGTAAATATGAGAAAAATGAATTTATAATATTTCTGTCCAGATGAATCAACAAAGCTCAGGATATTTTCTAATTCTTTAACTTTTGTAGAGTAGTAGTTTTCAGTTAATGCATTCAGTCAGATTATCAGATTTTCAGTCAGATATCAGTTAATGCATTAAATGCTTTAATTCCAACTACATTATGTCTTGTCAGGCACAAGTCTTTTTTATGTGTATTACTATTGTATAATATGTATGCATGTATTATTATGTTTTATTATTATATTATAACACAACATCTTGGCAGGTGCTTGACAAGCAAGGAGAAAATATGGAAATATTTAAGGAAACATGATCTGTGAAAATGTGAACAAATAAAATGATATAAAGAGAAGTCATAATTGTTGAATTCATCCAACAGTAGACATCCATAATTTTTTAAGGGTTACTGTTCCCCTTTTGAGTCTATAGTAACTCACATCTCAACTGCAAACCTCCCCAACACAATACTCACGGTAAAGTTGAGAGCCTTTCCTTCGTTTTCCACCCATACTCCCTTACTGTAGGCTCCCCTTCATCTCACAACACCTTCCAAAAACATCGAGACCGGAGATAAAATAAATAAACAGGCAGTTACAGTGAGATATATGAAGGTATGATGTGTCCCCCATGCCACAATCATATGATATGAAATTGTCCATTTTTTTCTGATTCAAATCCACACCAAAGTGGTAAATAGGGTGATTTGTCACATTTTGTCTGTTTCAAAAAGTATTGCAGAATGATAGGTGTTAACATAGGTGAAAATGTGTGTAGCAGTTTACCTAATTTTCCATAATATGGGTGTCTGGCAAAACGATTGTACCAGCCAGTATTTGGATCTTCATGTTCTGGTGCTAAAGCTGCAATTTGAGATGAATTCATCTTTTCAAAATGTCTCCAGACATTTTCAACAGGACCAAGAAATAATGTGTCTGTATCCACATACAAAAGTGAGTCCACATGCTTCAGAATTACCTGTAATATGAAAGTACACATCACTATTATTTTATTTCACCTTGACAAGTCATTCTTCTCTTGTCTACATCTCATGATTGCAGTTGGTACTACAATGGCAAGATTTAAAAAGTGTCACATTACTTTCATGACAAAAACACAGGTTAACTATTAGAGCTACAACAGCGCATATTTTATCACATTATTTGTAATGCTAACAAAATATTATAATACTCATTGAACCATAGAGTTTTTCTAACTTGCAGAATAATTGTCCAACTGGGGGTTTGAACTCAAACCCATAGGTTTGATAAGCAATGAACTTATCCCACACACCAACTCATCAAAACGAAATTTGAATTTTTGTATTTATCTAAATTCCAGAGGATGTAACGACAATCAGGCCTATAACATGTTACACAGTGAACCTTGCTCTATTCAAGTACAATAATAAGGAAATTTGGATCTGTTTTTGAGATTTCATAAATATCACAGGGATGTCAAAGAAAATGAACAGATCCTCTTCAAATTTGACAGGAGGCAAATTAATCAGAAATTATCAATTTTGGTGAAATTCATTATGGATTAGCTAGTGCAATGCTAGAGTTGTTCAGAGATAAATGAACAGATGTTTTGAAGGCAAAAAACACTTGCATAACACTTTTTTTGGCATCAAGGACCCTAAAAACATAAATATTGACTACATTATGTATTTAAGAATGTAATTTTCTACAGTTGTAATTTTCTACAGTTTCTATCAGTTGCTCAGTTTGCTGGGTTTTCTCTGAATTGTAAATGCTGGAACAGTAACTTAACAAATGGGCAGCAGACTGCCGCACTCCCTCTTCCTCAGAATTGATCCCTCTTCTCCCATTTCACACATATACTTCAATGTACTTCACCACCACACATTGAAGATCAGTTGGAAGCTTACAGTTTGTCTCACCTGTTTCCTACTATAGGAGATACCTTAAGGTGTAAAACCCTGCATGACGACCTCACATTCCAGTTGAAGTAGAACACATCACTTCCCGGGATATAACATGAACTACACTTAAACACATACACTTACACTTATGACCATAGTAGTACATCAGGAAGCGCAAAAAATTAAGCACATAACCCTATCAACCACTCCAATCTATTTCATTTACCCAAAATTGAAGTGTCACTAGTTCTAGCAATCTTGCTACTTACTGGGAGAAAAGTTCTCTGTGAGCAACATGGTTTAAATAATGGCTCTCCATTCTTCTGCATTTTCTCTTCAGGAGGAAAGGTCACAGCGATATACCTCATATGAAAATGACTGATTTGTTATTGTCTCCATTCGTTGAGCTGTAATAATTATTAGTGATGATTAAATCTGATTTCAATTTTGTTTTACAATAATGAAAACATTACTTACCTTTTCTTTAAAACTAGGAATCAGCTTTTTATCAGAAAACACTATGACAACAAGATCAGATGAGGTGAAAATAATTGCTGACTTAATCATGACTAGAGTCTCGGCAAGTCTATCTCCACAAGCAACAACTGCCAAAACTATTTTATGCAATCTGAAAATACAAGGCAAACAAAACAGTTCATCAATGATATCAGTTGCTCGCGATGGGCAAGGATTGCCAGAGAAGTTTAAATATACAACTTACTTGGAATTAAATGGACTAGGATGTGTCTCCAAAACCGATAGTGAACTTTCACTTGTAATTTTTAAGTTATTTGCATTACTAATTTTCCCCAACACGCGTGAATTATCAGAAATAATTTTATTGTAACTGTGAGGTAATTCATGTTTATCTTGTAATAAATAGGTGATGATGATATATAAAAATACAACGCATAGTATTGAAAATACGAAAACTCTCGGAAGTGTTTTCATTACGTTCAAAGAAACGATGATACCACAATATTCCACACAAGCTCATATCACACCAGTCCCAACTGTTGCCATGCATGTAAAACTTCAAATATTTCTTCACTACACACAGTGCAGCATTTATTGTATACACACTTTTAACGCCTTTAGCTATTGTAAGTAGTACACAAACAATAACACACGATTGCTCACCTACACATGGCACCAAACTCGCAACATTTCGCGGCTGTCAAATTTATGAAACCATCGTAGGATTATTTTTCATCTACCAAAATTGTGATTTCGTCAAATCTAAAGATTTTAATACGATTTTCTAATTTCTTTAGAATACAAATTAGTAATTATCTGTAAATAACAAAATATATCTTTGACAGCAAGGAATTAAGTAATGGTTTTTGCTTGTACAAGATGGCACCATTGGCATTCTCCGAGAAAGTATTAGCAAAATCAGAGAGTATGCACAAACATCACTGTAGTGACGAAACGCGAGAACCAGAAACACTACGACCAGAACCAGCGTCCTTTATTCTACAGATTCAGATTCACAGAGCCGCCATATTCTGTTAAAGATCAACAGCCAATTGTATGAAAGTGCGCGTGAATTTAAGCATTTCGTGTCGAGTACCACCGTACTTCTCGGTTCATATTCTTTTTTCGTTTCAACTCTATGACTTCAAAATATATATTACACTACATTCTTCTTTCTAACTGCATTATTTAAATTTTTGTCTAAAATTTATGAAAACATTATTATTGAAGGAAAATATGCAGAAACGTATGCATGTTTTTAATCCATCGAAATTACTACATGATTTTATAATTTGTTTTATAGTATTATTACATTTAAAATTAATTTTTATTATGTACTGAAGCATTAAATACTGAGGATTATTATAGAAGCTGTTGCTTGTATAAATTAAGCATTCTAACGCTACATTATAATTACCAGTAGCGGCTCGTGCCCTCAAAAGTTGGTGGTTACTCGCAATATTACAATGTTATCGTTATGTACGAAGGGTCGCTCTTCATTAATTTCAAACAAAAATTTCGCGAAAACTACTAACTTTTACAAAAAAAATGTACATGACCTTTATTAAAGAGCAAAATTTGTTCAACAGACTTTGTATGAGGTAAAATCTCTATCTTCAATTTTAGTAGTGGTTTTGAATTTTTTTTGCAATTTTCGAAAAAAACGAACGATACCCGAAAACTGAAAGAGCACCATATTTTTTACCGTTTATTATTACATATATGAAGAAATTTTAAAGAAACGATTTATAGCAGTTTTTGAGAAAAAAATCGTAAATTTCAAGCGCAAATTACGCTAAACTACTTGTTTTTTTTAAAAAAAACTGTACATGAACTTTCTAAAGAGCTAATTTAAGACAACAGACTTTGTCTTGAGCAAAAATTATTTGCTCAAATATTTAGAATTATATTTTATTTTCAATAAAACGAGCAATACCCGAAAATCGGACTAGCATCATATGTTTATCGTCTCTCGAAGTGAAGTGAAAAAGTGAAGAAAATTTAAAGAAAAAATTTGGGGAGGTTCATGAGAAACAATTGCAATATTTTTAAGGGCAAACTACGCAAAAAATACTATTAAAAATGTACACGACCTTTCTTAAAAGCTAATTTCTTAGAACATACTTAGTCTGAAGCAATAATCTCTATCTTCAATTATGTAGTTTTCATTTTTTTGTTGCAATTTTTAAAAAATCGGGTATTTAAAGGATAATGATCCCTGTATCATTTTCTTAAACGTCCTTCTCACTATTCAATACCAAAATTTAATTTAAAAAATTGGAGTCTTTGGAGCCTTGCCAAAAATTGGAATTTCTTTAAATATACGGGGGGCTTTATGTATGCAAAATGAAAATATCGGTTCCGTCATTTTATCTGTAAATATTGGAAAGATGAGTAAACGTTTAAAATAATTAAATGAAAATAAAAAAACACGAGATTAGCATTATTTGAAAAAAAGCTAGACATTTTCGTTCTCGACTTATAGAAAACTTATTTGCATCGGTAAATGAATTGCAGGTATGATTTTTCTGCATTGCTAACAAAAAAGTAACCAGCCCTTACATCTTCTTCTACCACTACAAGAAAAAGGAGAGTTCAACAAAACGTGCGCATAGTGAAGCTACATTTACGTTCAGAAGCAACACTCGCCATTCAGCATATGCTCAATGGATCAGAGAAACTGGACAAAATCCTGATCGAGATGGGGGTTATTGACCCGGAAGTTGAAGTACATTATTTGTTACAAACATATTAAGTCTTTTAAAAAATATTCAATACAAAGGTAAACTGATTCAATATATATAACTGTTTTGTTAAAATAAACATTATTTTTCTTTTTTATAATCGGTATAGTCTCTAATTGTATAGAAACAGTTATGCAGCAGAAAAGATTTTACTTTTAACTTAAATTTTGTGAACCGACTTTCAACTTGCTTGTAACTGTCATCTGGCAGTGCGGTTTGGTAAAAAGTAACGGTATTGTATGTGGATTTCCTGATTGTGAGCTGTTGATACTGACACTGATGAACGTGATTTTTACATGTGTTGTTAATTATAAATATCAGTATTGGCATGAAAATATGTTCCACCATTAAGTCTCTTTTGACAAATATTACATATTCGTTAAATATTAGGCAAGGCAGTGTAAGATTCCAAGTTCAGAAGAGAGGCTTGCCAAGGGTAAAGTTGGTCATTTTTCATTTTCGAATAATTTTCTTTTGCAATCTAAAGTCTGAGAACTACATGATGTACTTTATTCTATTTTATATATATATATAATAGTATATATTATATATTATATTATATATATAATATATATGTATATAGTATCACACACATCTGTCACACACACACACACACACACACCACAGCACACACACACACACACCTAGCACTTGTGTAACAGGCGACATTTTTCGGTTGAAGAGCAAAAACGCTATAACCGACACGAGCCGACACAGATTAACAGTAATGCACAAATGTATAAGCCATTGAGAAAACAAAAATGGTCACTACCTGAACCCTTGCGATTACTCGTACATCGCACAAATGATAGATCGGTAGAAAAGTTATGACGGAAAAGTTCTACACAGAATATCCGGAATCTCCTGTTAGATTAAATTCCCCAGGTTTTGTGTTGAATTTCATGAAGAACGACGTGTCCAGTTTTTTCAGGCATCGGCGTCTGCAACGGGGCTTTGCGTCGCTTCGGCGTTTTTTAGGTGCACCTGTCCAGTGAACAACTTTCCATTTTTTAATTTAATAATTATCATGTACAGTTTACCAACGAAACGATTTCATCCTATTTTTTAAATTACAAGGTTCGGTCCATTGCAGTGCTAGTGTACTATATTCTAAAATTGAACCAGATTTTGATAATTTTGTATGTACCGTTCTTGCTACACACCAACTTACTCTCTGAAATGAACCTAAAGGCAAATTCAATTTAACATTAGTTAATGGGGTTTTATATAAAGAAAACCTTACAACGAACTTTAAATATAGGAAGTTGAAGGGTATATCTGAAATTTTGGAGATAAACATTTTAGCCGAGCCTCGTGCTTACTCTGGGTACTCACCACATCAGAAATAAATTTAATTTATTACTCTATAGATTGTACACGACCAAGACTATATAGTTGTTTTCAGTCTGAAGATGAGGTCCATTACAACTCGAAATGTTGTGATTAACTGGAAGGTATAAAAATCATGTATATTATTCATGTAACAATGAATTGTGCAGTGTGAAAAATGTTATATAAATGTTTATATAATAAATTAGACGTGACTTACATTACTTTCGTTGTAATGTTCTCTAACTTTAATTGCTCTGAACTCCATTGAAAATGAACAATGTGCCATTGCCTGATGATATGGTAACAAAATTTTTAATCTTTCGATTCAGCCAAACCTTCAATGGAACGTCCATTTAAATGAATTGAACACCAAATTAAGTTAATTGTGCTACGCTTTCAGAATTCTTTTTACGCCAGTTGCCTTTCTACTGTTCGTTGAGTGTACTTGGCGAATGTTCATTTCCGCTTGAGATATGGCATAATAGTCTGGCCCAATGCTCCCAAACTTTTAGATTACAAAAAATAATTGTACGTATAATAGGCAAATCCCATCCACGTGATTCTTTTTATTAATCTAGGTATTTTACCATTACCTTGTCTCTTGATATATGAATCATTGGTTTTTGTAAAAAATTACTTACTTAAGGGTGGGAATATATTTTCAGCATTTGTTTTCAAACTATTTAATCTGTAGCCTTTTTTAATGGAATTATAAATTTGTTGTTCTTACTTACATAGAAAATATTTTTAATTTATTTGTTTGATAATGTTAAATTGAAACACCAAGAACTATTTAAAAATATTTTTAAAAAAACATCCAAAAGAAAATGTGAATTAATAGGATTTTCTTTATATTTCAGTATCGAAATTGGAGGTTGGAGATCGGTGAAAATAAGAATAACCTAAATCAATCTAGATCCAAGGACCGTAAATGGTGTTAAAATCTTGCACCTGGGTTCGTTCGAACGCACAATCCCAAATTAATGGGGAGGAATTCCTCGTAAACTACGTCTCTTAATAACGAACACGGAAACACACCGTTCAGAAATTGCGATTGTTAGCCCCCCCCCATTGACGTTCCACACGAAAATCGGAGCACACTAGTGAAAACGGGTCTTCGGTTGTTGTCACGGGGCTGGCGGAAGAAGACTGGAAACGATTACGGAATTGTGCTATTGCCAACACTAGATCCATGGGAACTAAAAGGCGCGGATCCACGGGGAAGGAAATAGGGGAGATTTCCCCTCTCTAAACTTTTCAGTAACTGTTCATTAAAACTAGACATGAAACTGTCAAGCAAAACTATTTTCATGTAAACATTAACACGAATAAAATTGTAGCACAACAAGAGCTGCGTTTAGCTTGCGTCATTCTACATAATCTGTAATATGATGCATTCGACCAAAACATTTTGAATAAAAGAATTTCCCCTCCCAGAAGTCGTCTCTTTATCCGCCCCTAGAACTAACATTGGCCAATGTACAAATGGATCATTCCGTCAACGATGCTAATAGTACTGGGGAGGCGAAGTGACATTTTCTCTGAATTCCTTCATGTCTCGAAGATATAACATTCGGATATGCTATTATAAGTATATCGAGCATTCGAAGGATAAAAACTGCGGGATCTTCTTGAGGGACTCTTCATACGGAGCCACTCTACAGCGCCTTCGAAATCTTTTGCTGACAAAGTATTGGATTTACGTGCAGATATTCATGCACTCACGCTACCTTTAGCAGTCACGCAGTTCTATACTGCGATTTTTACAACTCTGCCCTTGGCAGGTATCAGCTGTTGACAGTCTCGTCCAATCGAAACATTGAACGTCACCGCAGGAATGTCACTAATGTGACGTACAAGCTCACTAGCTTGTCAGCTAGAACGAATTTAACCGCCGTCTGAAGGAAAATTCTAGCTACCGGCTGCTTTGATCAGTAGTTTTCCGTGGTTTCTCCTATCAACACAGGGAGAATGTTAGAGCAGTACCCTACCAAACGGGCCACGGTCCGGGCGTGATGTTTCCTTCCCATTCCTTGTCCTGTCCTACCCAAACTTTCTTAACCTTTCTCCTCTTTGCTTTTTTCACCTGTCTTACACACATTTTCCACTTACATTCCACTACAAGTTACAATACTACCATGCGGGAACGCGGTCGGGAGCTAGAGCTTTTGGGGGGGGGGATGCCCCGCTGGCGTGAGATACCTGGTTGGGGAAAACTGTTACCAACTGTAGGTCGACGCCAGGATCTCACCATCCACCATTGATTTTTTCGTCGACAGGACTTACATCAAATCTATATCTCTTTTTTTGATGCAAGATAGTTTGAACTTTACGGAAGCAAATTCTGGAAATTAGATTTTGTTTACAACGCTCATCACTAACATTTATTCTCAGTTGAAGTGAAGGTAGGTATCCCGGGGCGCAAGAAAATATCTGACAGGTTTAATATGTAAATTAGTTTTGTAACTCCCGTTTCATGTTCGGCAATGGCAGAAGTCCCATTCGGACCGAATACAAACTGTGATTTGTATTAATCCTGCACTTGGGGGGGGGGGGGGGTTGCGGATATTAAAATAGCTACGCATCTGATGGCTCTGCCATTTGCGACGCCATTACCTGTCATCAGCGCCACTACTGGTGGTTTAGGACACTCGCTGAACATTCATATTTGAACAGGAAATTTCTAAAGAAATGACATACCATTGACTCGAAGCCGGCCATGACGTTCCATGCAACGCTATTAGCTATGAAATTTGGCGGGCTCGAGCGGGTTGTTGCAGTGTGTGCGAGTTTTCGATGCGTCGTTGGTGTTCATGAAATTATTTTATTGCGACATTTCTGAAATGTTTCAGTTTGTACTTCGACATATTTATCTTACAGCTTAAATTGCATGTATTGCTACTGTCATTTCATGAACTATGCAAGTCGAAGAATTTGGACAGTAGTGTTAAGTGCCTGTGTTGATTGAACCATGGATCAAATTAGTAGCCTGTCTCAGGCAGTTTGTCAACTGAAGGACACCATACACTGCCCCATATGGTAATGTTACGATTAAAAAAAAAAAGAAGAGGGGATTTGAGAAAATTTGATTAATATAAACATTTAATGATGTTGGTCATTTTCAGCTTTGATGTATTGTCGGATCCCATTTCCACAAAATGCAATCATCATTTTTGCTCTGAGTGTTTTAAGAAGTTATTTAATAGTCGAGGTTCTCACCGTTGCCCTGTTTGCCACACATCTCTTACAAGAAGATCCTGTGTAAAAAATAAAGGTTCATTGAATGAAGTTGTGAATTCTGTTAAAAGTTTAATAGAATGCTTGAGTGCTGAAACAGGAATTGATTGTAAGTATGAAAGTCAATAATACATAAATACAAAAGTAATGCATTCTCATGAGGTATTCAGTTTTTCCCAAAATGATGCAACCAATTGATTTCCTATATTTAAGTTTTAGTCACTACTATTTCTTTTAGAAAATGGAGGAAAGATGAAATGTATTAATGTTCATAAAGATTGGATACATAGTTATATTTGTGTGACGCAGAAGGTATAGAGAAAAGAATTTTCAAAATGTCAATATGTCCTTTTATTTAAGCATTTTACAGCTGTACTATTCCTTAGGTATGATTGTGTTATTGTATCATAGTTCATCATTTTTATCTGTTTCTATAGAATAAATAATTCATTTGTGTACTTGAGAATATGAAAAAGTTTAAAACATACTTTCTGTTTAATTACAGCATTTATAGTAAATGTTTTGAATGTTCTTCAAAAAATTATTAGTATTAACATTCTGAACTTGCTATCAGGCTTGTTAATAAACAAAATCATGGAAGTATGAAAAAACAACAACAAAAAAACCATAAGAAATACATTTTTTCAATCTATTACAAAATGTGTCCTCTGTCAAATTTTTAATTGTTCTGTAATTTACAATTTTTACTTTTTTATTTCAGTTTCAAAAGAAATCGCAGCACCGCATTCAAGAGAAGCAACTTGTGAGGATGAAATTGTTGAGAAGCCTATTAACCACGGCAGAGAGAACACAACGTCTGCTAAGCAACATGGAAAACCTCATACTGATTTATTGTCAAAAAATAAAAATGTACGACAGTACCACCGAAAAGAACTGTCGTCAAATATTGAAGATTCATTTCTATTTCCTGCAGACTTCATCCATCCTTCCAAAGGAATGGATTTAAAAATAAAATATCCAACCGAGTTGGTTAATACTAAAGTGTCTTCATGGCTAACAGAAAATGAAAATGATTTGAATAAGTGTGATGATATGTCTATCTTGAATGGTAGCCTTCCTAAGAAAGTTCCTGTGGATTTGAATAGTTCTAGTGAAGAGGAGCTTTTGTCAGTATCTCAAGTTACTACTAGTAATACCCACCTTGCCCCATTAAAATATAAGACTAATTTTGAAATTATCAATGAGGAACCTGAGGAGGATACAAAAGTTAAGTCCAAATCCTCTGATTTTAAAGATCCATATGAATTTATTAGTAGCCAGAAATCAAACCAAGCACAGACATTAAAGAAACCTATGAAGAGACGCAATACTAAAAGCTATGGAAGTAAGAAGAAACCTCTTGGTTTGGACATTTCACGTTTGGTAAATGAACCCTATGTTAAAAAGAAGAAGTTAGAAATGAATGATACCATGTTTGAAGTGCCTGCTCTTCTTAATGATACTTTTGACCAGTTGCTTGCTGGTAAGAAATGCTCTCAATTTAAACCTATTGGGAACAAAGAAACCGAACCAAAATACCCCAGCAAGACTGAACCAGAGAAAGAAGTGATTTTAGATAGTAATCCTGCTGACGAGTCTATTGTTTTGACAGATTTCTCAGCAGGAAGTGATGATGACTGGGCTCCAAGTAAACAAAAAAGAACACACAAAATCAAACGGAATTCCAATGAGAAAGCTTTTAAACCCAGGTTGTCAAAAGTGAGAACTTCACGTAAATCGACTATAACAAAAGACAAAGAAGATTATGAGAAAGAAATGGAAAACTTAAGCAAAACTTTTGAGGAAGTTGAAAACTATAAGCTTGTGACATCATCTCAAGTAATGAGAGAAGAAATGGCTAGAAAGCAGGAGAATTTTGCAGTTGGTGAAGAATTGAATGATGTTTGTGTGGCAACAGAGTTGAAGAAGAGCAGCATTGATGAACATGAAGCAGAAGTGATACCATCTCTGGAAGAAAGAGATTCCAAAGAAGCTGAGCATTCTCTTTCACCAGGATGGTCTCGTGTTAGCAATTTTAAAAAGGAAATCAATCATGATAAAAATGCATCTGGGAAGTCTTGGCAAGCATCTTCTACGAAGATGAAGCCCACAGTGCATAAAAATGCAAGTATTTTGTTCAAAAAGCCAAAGATAATATTGGAAAACATTGAAAATATTATATCAGACAAAAATGTGTATGTGTCAAATACACAACAAAAAAAACTTGTAGAAACTGGAGAGAATCAAGTCCACAACAATACGCAAAATAAAGAATGTTTGCAGTCACCTGTCTCTTCTGGAAGGAAGATAAGTGCGGAGTCACCTGAAACACCTGTTCGATATTTTAATCTTAGTCAGGCTGAAGAAAGAGTCAGAATCATGAGTGATGTTGTAAAATCTTTAGAGTGTTCAATTAAAGATGAAGAAGAAGAAGAGAAATTCCTGCAAAATGTTTCATCTGGGGAAAGTAAGATTTATGTAAGTATGCCTACGTTACCAGATGAAGATGAGAAATTAGTGGAAAATTGCATAAATGATACCTCAGCCAGTCGCATGCGAAATGTCGAGAGCTGGAAACAGTTTAATGACCTGAATACTCCTGCAAGTGTTTCATTGACTTATAGTACAAAAGTGTCTGAAAATGCTGTTGATGAAAGTGGCAAAGAATCACAAGTTCCTTATGAAAAGGTTGGAGACTCTTCTGAAGGAATTAAAACTTCACAAAAGAGGAAAAGTTCATTACTGTTGAATCATACTGTTAGTACTGAAAATGTTGAAGAACAAACTTGTAAAGAAAATGTTCTTCCTACAGTTGGAAGCAATGATCAATCAGGCAAAAACAATACTTCTGGAAACCCCTCTAAGGGAATTTTGGTTGTAAAAACTATTGAAGAAAGTATGATCCCGAACTCTGCTAAAGCAAATTTAATTAACGAACAGAAGAGAAGTTCTGATTGTGTTGAGCGCAGAGTCCATTTTGCTGAGGAACCTGTGGAAGCAAATAAAAAGTCTCTACTAAGTCCTTCTAATGGACTGAATGTTGTATTTTTTAAGGCTGGGAGTTGTTTTTTTTCATATTGTAGACCAAGAGTAAGATTTTTGTTTCTAGGATCGTGTGTGAGTAAAGCTGAGAGAGGATGTGAAGTTGATCAATGGATCATCAAAGTTTCCAAGTGAGGAAAATATATTAAATTTTTAATTATAATTTAACGTATTTAGTTTTTGCATGATTTGCTCATTGTTAAATATAATTAAAACTGTTCAAATTCTTTTTTCTTTAATTTGTATTTACTTTTGATTTCAGAACTCCTCCTGTTTGTTTCTGTGGATCGACTTCTGCAAAGTCTCTTTCTGTTGAATGTTCAAGTGAAATATGTGGCCAGCATGGTTTGTCATTAATAAGTGCCAAAAATGAAGAGAAGAGAATAAATTGTCCAACTAGAATAAATGAAGAGTCTCCTGATAGTGTTTGCAAGTTACAGGTAGGAAGTTCAGCTTATGAAGATATACAAATACATCCTGAAAGTAATGTAAAATCTGCTGCGTGTTCAGTTCAGAAATTAAATCCACAACAAGAAAAAGAGGATGTATTAGAGAAGAATACAAATGAAGTCTCTGCAGAAAGTGTTCGAACATTTCCTAGCACGATGGCTCCAGGCACTCAAATTTCATCAGAAAAATCTGAGAGTGATGTGGAGAATATTCAAAAGTTGTCAGTAGTACAAAATCCCACATTTTCTGAAAAGCTGGACCTAGATACTTGTAAACAAATGTCAGAAGACAATGTCAAAGCTGATGACAATAATTATTGTACCCCACCTCAACAGTCCCTCAGGGCATCTGGAGAAGATGTATTCAAATCTTGTCAGAACAGTTTGCAGGGATCTCCACCACAAAAGGTATTAGTAAAATTTTCTAATGATGAAGTAGAGTCTGAAGAACTTAATGGAATTATGCCTTACCAAGAGCCCCAAAAGAAAATTTGTGATGACATTGTAGTGAATAGTGACAACAATAAGGATGAGTTATCATCCGAAAAGTGCTCGGAAAAACAACCTGAAGAAGATATTTTTATTACTGCTAAGAGCAAAGTTGAGATGAACTCGAAAGCTTCATTTACAAAGAATGTAATTAGAAGTGACAAGGCTCAGCAGCCAAGCAATGGCATACGCTCTACAGATGACATTTTCCAGTCTAATGAAATGTATCTTGAGCCACCTTTCCAAGAAATTAATAGTTTGATCAGAACCAAGGAGTCGAAGCAAGGAAACAAAATATCAAATGCTACTCAAGGTACTTCAATAGGGTTTACAGCAAATGAGAAAAAAGCATCTTCTGAATCTGAGGAAAGTCATTTGTCAAATAAATTCAATTCAAAAATTATTACTCATAATCGGTTATCACCAAATTGTGTGAATAATTGTATAAATAGTGAAGATGTATTTAAGACTGAAGGGAATACTGGTGTAGTTGAAGTTTCTGCAGAAAAATCAAGTAAAATCAGTAACAATTTTATGTCTGAAAATTTAAAACCAATTCATGTAAATGATATAATTGATGATCCAGATTTAAATGCATCTGCTGATCAGAGATCAGCTATTGATACAACACCAAAAGGATCTCGTAAAGAACGAAAACGAACAAGAGCTTTGATAGAATCATCTGATGACAGTGACAATGATGGAAAGGTAGTGAAAAAAGCTAGTGTTGTTTCAGATTCGGTTAATCCTGTAAGGATGAATTTTGACACTTCTTTATCACCAAACAATGGTTTTGAAAATGCTCAATCAAAACTGGATACACAGAGCATTCAAAACAGTGATGAAGATTATCTTCTTAATTCTGAAGAATTATTTCAGAAGGTAATTGACAATATAAATGAAGATTTAGGGAATATCAAGAAACCTAAGTTAAGAGGTGCTAAGAAGAGAATATTATCTGACAGTGAAGATGATATGCTGGTTTGTGATTTGAAGGATCAGAAACTGAGTAAATCTCCTGAATATGATCAGGTTTGTTATATTTTTATATGCTTACATTTTTTTATTATTATTATTAGGAACTTTATTTATGAATTATGAATACTTATTAAAAATTGAAATTGTAATTTATAAAATTTTTATTAATTACTTCTTGCCTGGATTTGATGATAAAAATAAGATTGGATTTCTGCATTTGTGAAACATTTAAGTTGTCAAATGTTGAAGCAAGTTTAAAAAATGATTTTATTTTTTGGAAATTTGTAGGTTCATAAATTAATTGTTTATTTCAGAAATCAGTCAAGCACCAAAAACTGAAGTGAATGGTGAAATATTTTTCTAAATGTGTATAAGCAAATGTTTTTTAATTATAAATTATTGAAGTATATGCTTGTTTCAGCAAAAAAAATTAAAATCACCTATCAAAAAATTTAGTCTAAAGCTAGACAGTTATTTTGTTTTCCTGGTATTGTCAAATTGGCACTTGGTTTATGTGATAGTTCAATAATATCATTTAGTATAATCATTACTAAAGTGAGAATTTTCATGCCCTATCAAGTCCTAAAGTATTATACAAAAATGTGCTATCAAATAGCTAAATGTGGAGAGGACTAAGGGTAAAAGTTAGTGAAATATGCACTACCAAATTTTATTATATTACTCTTTATGCATTTTAATGCTTTTTATAGTAGTGGATAATGAAGAATTTTTCCAAATTTCCTTGCTTTCGATTTATCTGTCTTGAGGGGGTGTTTATCCATACACATCTTTGGAGGTCCACAACCTTCTGCTAAGTCCCTTTTACTTTTCACTGTAATAAGACTGCATGTATTTCAAGCATACAAAATAATTATTCAATTAGAACCACCATCATTGTTGATGTTCTCTTAATGGCAGCATTATATTCATATTATCATTATTAATGATTTTTAATATATGCGTTAAATTAATTCTCATTACATTTTGTATCCTGTTTTATCTCTTTAAATGTTGATAATAGAAAATAATTTTTATTTTGACAGGATATTATTGAATTAAACAGTAATCGTAGCGACGATGATGAAGATGTGTTTAACGATGAAGGAGGTAATGATGCAGATATAATTGAAGGTACTCCCAGAAAGAGCAGAGCAGAAGAAGAAAGTAAAACAAGAGATTCTTCAGAGAAATTGAATTTGGTTAGGTTAGTATGGATTGAATTTTTCATTATTCTCTAGAATAGAATTAATTTCTATTATTTTCAGGAATGAGGTTATAATAACACAGGTTTACCTGAAAAATGTTGAAATCATCAAAAATTTATATGCATTTTTTTCTAAAACAGTTTTTAACACTACTTGTGATTTTGCATTCAGATTTTTGCTCTCACCCATTATTTTTCTACAATAGTTTATCCATTTATTATGCCAAAAAGCTGCCATATTCAATTTTCTTATAAATGGTGTTAGTAAAGCTCACCCAGAAATTTGATGAATTCCCATGTCTCTTATTAACTGCTTGAGGATCTCTGTATAACATCCAGCAGAAATCTGCCATCACTGAGTCATTCGAGAAATCTTGGGAGGGTTGCTCCTTTGTTCTGATGTCGTGGTGGAAATGCTCGCCTTGTTCATCACATACGTCAGCAAGGTTATCAACGAACAAATCTAAATGGGAGTGCAGAAATAAGTGATATTCTACAGTTCAGTTTTTGAAGTGTATACAAAAGCCTTTTGATGTTGTTAACAAAAGATTTGTTTTCTATTGGAAATATTCACCCACCAATTGAAAATTAGTCCAGGTATCTTGTTCCTCTGGAGTCATAATTTGTGTGAACGCACCATCTTTTAAAATCTTTCGGATTTAGGAAGATTCCTTCCTTAATTTTGGTTGCATTGATTTTTGGAAATTCTTCAGAGGTACTGGAATGCTCAGTTTGCCTTGCTCATTGTCATCACCAAACAGTTAATTCAAGCATTATATGAAGAGGAGGGAGAAATAAGTTTGGATCAACTAGAGACTCAAAAGAAACCCTCCTGTTTTTATCTCTTCTTTATCTGTTTTGAGATGCGATGGTTAAAACAAGAGTTCATTTCATCTCCAGCAACACCAGTTCCTGAAAGAATGTCTTTACCATTGAGAATTTGCACAGTCACCATATGAAAACCGTTCTATTTCAGAAACTAATCGGGTTAGAGCAAATCTAAGCACATTTTTGAAATCAGGGCGTGACCCTTGGTAAATCTTACATATTTTCTTCTCTGATGATTTTTCATTATTGACCAGGTAAGTCCTTATTTCGGGGAATAAATCTCATGTTTGCATTATTAAAACCATCTTATCGCAGAAACGTGCTAGAGAAATTGTAAGTAGTGCATATTTAAAATGAGGACATGATACACTACAAATCACACAGTTTTATTTTTGATGATTTTTTGTTGTTGACCTATGTAATTAGTAAATGTATATTTTTAACTGACTCAATTAAAAATTATAATAATGAGTTTAGTTAAGATAATTAACAAACAATGAACTTCAGAGAGAAATGATTTTTATTCTATTTTTAGATCTACTCCTGATGATGTTTTTGAAAATATGCCTCAAGATTCTACACCAAAGAAATTCGTATTACCTCACAGTTCAAATTTAGATTCAAAATGTAATGAGATTGAACTTGAAAAAGTGTCTCATAATGGGTTGAAAAAACCTGATCAATTAACTCATTCAAAAGAATTAGGAACAAGTGGAAATATTTCTTTGTTAAAAGCTAAGGAATCAACTGAGGAAATTAATATGTGCAACTCGCCCAGAAAACCCCACTTGGATACTGTTGGTAAAAGCCCACTTAGAATGCGATTGGGCAGCTCTCAGAGCAATCAAAAAAATATACAAAGGAACATTACAGAAAATACCAGTAAACCATTATCAACAGTATCAAAAGATCTGAAGATACATCCTAGAATGGTATTTGTGTGTAGTGGCCTTACAGCTCGTTTGGTTGCAATAGTAAAAAAGTTCGCAAGTGAAATTGGAGCTGATTTTTCAGACAGTTTTACATTATCCATGACTCATTTAATTGTTAGTGTTGACGAAAATCAAGCAACTCCTAAAACTCTTAAGTACCTGCAGGCAGTGGCAGCTAAGAAGTGGGTCGTCTCTTTTAATTGGATAACTGCATGTATATCGTCTAAAAAACTTCTTCCTGAGGTATGTATGGTTATATATTTTTTTGCAGCTTTGTGAACGCTACATAAGCATTTAATGACATTGAAGTTATTAAGCTATTAAGTAAGAGTGAGCGCTAAAATTCAGAATGCTCATGTTATATTGTCAATTTGAAATGTATTACTACTTTTATTTTCTCAAAATATCCTCACTCTTTGGCATCAAACATTTTTTTATTGTTACATTAATTGTGAACATGTACCTGTAAAGTAAGAATAAATAAACAACACGGTTTGCTATATTTTAGATGGATATTTTAACACCTTCATAATTTTTTCAGGAAAACTTCGAAGCTATTGACACTGTGGGGCTGGATGGCCCTCGCAGATCTCGACTAAGCTCGGAAAGTCTATTTAAAAATGTTCAAGCATGCTTTATTGAACCATTTCAGAACATTACAGTGGATAAACTACAGGCAAGTTATATGGGGGGGAATAAATATATAATAATAATAATAACAATAACAATAACAACAACAATAACAACAACAACAACAATAATAATAATAATAATAATAATAATAATAATAATAATAATAATAATAATAATAATATAAAAATTATTTATTAGCACAAAAACAATTTGTGCTAATAAATGTCAATAATTGGAATATTTATGATATTTCTTGCCCTTTCTTGTAAAGAAAAGATAAAACTGTTTTTTCATTGGAATTTGCTAGCAGAATTATATGCTTTTGAATTTTCAAATTTCTTATTCAGTTATATTAAGGTTAATGTAGGTGAAGAAATCCAAATACTTGACTTCAGATTGGACAGAGTTTTTCAGGTAGTTTCGTGTTTCTGAAGGTTTTCTGCTGTTTTGGCCATGAAACACTGACAACAATTTTGAATAAAAATAAATTTTATTTTATTGTACAATGTGTCATTAGTGAAGTGAAGGTAGTAGTAAACCCACCATTTAAAAAAATAAAAAAATATAAAGGCTTAGCCTAAAATCTTAGTCTTTTGTAGATATTTGTTTAAACAGACACTCCTCATTTTATGGCATAATGAGTAACTCATGGATGCAAGACTTGACTTTTTGGTTTTGATGAATTTCTTTTACTGTTTTAATTTTTTAGGAAATCTTTATGATGTGTGGTGGAATGGTCGTTGATTCTCCTGAAGGATTCTCCATTGTAAGCAAAGATGTGCTCCGAATCATAATTGTGGATAACGATGCAGAAGTTAAAGCAGCATTATGTCAAAGTTAGTGTGGTTACTCTAGTTATTTGGAATGCAAATACAGTATTTACTCAATTATAAGCAGACACATATTTTAAGCTGACCCTGAAATAACAAAGGGGAAAAAAAGAAATTAATTTATTTAAACGTAAGAAATATGTTCAATGCTTAACGCACGCAGACCACTAATTCCTATGCATTTTAGAGATTATTGACTCGGACGCCGTCATCAGACGGCTTGGTTTCCTCACTTGACTGTCACTTTTGTTCATAAAAAGAATGTTGTTTTCGCTGCTGTGAAGGGTATTTTAGATTGAATACTTTTTTTAAGCCCTTACAACTTCTCTAGGAATACACTTACTCTTCCAGGCATCATCTATCCAAGCACACACGTGCTATAGAGTAGCCCAGGATCACCTAAAAAGAATGACTGCTGGGGTTAGTCCTTGGCTTGGGGGGACGGAACCATGTGCCTGTGGCAACTTAGGCAACACCGCTTTACCCCAACTGTCACTCGGAAATTTTAATCAGCCAATTATATATATCAAATTAATACTTGTGATGTCTTAATGCAGGTTTTATCCGTACTTTCTACCGTGTTTGTGTATAGATATGTTGGGTGTCAGCTACATTATAGCAACATGTTGACATTAATTCTAATCAGAGGGTCAATTTTAAACTGCAAAAAAAGGGAAAAAATGGGTCGGCATACAATCTGGTAAATAGGTAAACTTAGTGATTTAATTTTATCTAACATTTTTGATTAACTTATAATTAAACTTTTAAACTAAGATTGACATATAATTAGAATAGCATTTGAATCAGTAATAGTAATGATTTTATTACATTGTTTATGAGATTATTATTCATTTTTTTAAAAATATTTTGCAGAGTGGATAACTTTGAACCGTGCTGTTACTCTGAATTATGACTGGCTGGTGGACTGTATTGGGACCCACACTATTTTACCATTACCATCTTCATTTGCGGTACCATTTACAAGAGAACAAGTGTTGGCTTGTGGAATTCCTGAATATTTATTAGAAGAAGATGATATGGAAATAACAGAAATGAGTGACATTAGTGGTTTACCAGAACCATGAAACAAAACAAAATATTGTATATACTGTAATGCAAGTAAAGATTGTTTAGCTCTCATGAATTGATGCATTTTCAACTACAAACCCAGTTCTAGTATTCCAACATGGAAATAACAGAAATGAGAGACATTAGTTCTTTGCCAAGAACCATGAGACAAACAAAAAAAGTATTGTAAATATTATAAAGATATTTTGATGTGTTTGATGTGATAATTTTGATGTGGTTATCACAGAAGTTGGTGATGTTGACGACTAGTAGTTTATGGTTATTTTGAATCATTGGTGTCTGAATGATTTCATTTTTGCATAGAATGAATGATAGTACATTGAAAAGAAAATTAATTATCTGTAAGATTGGTTAACATTTTGAAAGTTCTTAAAAAAGTATTTATTTTTTATATTTTTGTTTTCAAAAATAATTTGTAGCTTCTTTGTATACACATATTGAAGTCTTTGTTAATTTATATACTAAGTGCTAATTATTTTTATGTTGTTTGGAGAAGTTCATTTTCTTAAAAATATAGAATATTCTAAAGGAAAAGTTATTTGAATTCCTGAGAATTTATATTTTAAATATATGTATTACTGTACTTATTTATATATACAAAAGTACTAAAAATTAATAAAACAACCTTTTTGTGAATAACATTTACATACAGAAATTATTTCTTTTCATTATGTTTCATTGCAGTTTCTCTTCTTGCTCATTTAGAAAAGTTATTTTTAAAGTAAAAATAGTTTTGATATATGAGAGAACACTTTTTCAACTATAAACTTAGTCCTGTACCAACATGTCTTTGCTATAAGGTATATGTAAGCTTGTGATGGATTCTATAATTCCTATTTTTTATGTAATATTCAGTGGAAAACAAAAATTGATTCTGGTGTTAGAAATGTATTTTTCATCTGCAATGGAAACTTGTAATTAATGTGCTCATTAATTCCAGGATAATGCTCATGAGGAGTATGAAAACAGCAATGGCCCTGAAAATAAGGCTGCTTATTAAGTTGAGCAAAAATGTAAAATGAATATGGGTTTGGGTTATATGTTGTTAGTAATTGTTCGTTCATAAATGGTTAGCAATCATGATGCCAGAAATAAATATATTTTCAAAACTCTGTTTAGGTAGAGTTATCAGAAAAACAATTTTTATTATTAAAGCTGTGAACTGCATAATTATGTCAATGAAGACTTTTACTGAAACTTAATTTGCTAGAGTGATGAAATGATTTGATTATCTTGACTAGTGATCACTTTTAATCACCTTTTAATTGAAGTGCATAATTTAAGTTTTTTTTGTAAAAGTCAAAGAAATAAAATTAGTTTCGTAAAATAGGCATTGAAACAAGCAGAGATTAATACAAAATTGCTCTTCTGAAATATTTTTCTGAGATCTATGGTAAATTTTGATCAGCAAAGTGTGATATTATAATGCTTTTTTTTTTTTGCACATACACTGTTCAATTTCGCATCACTTTTGTGTATCTCTACACACTTGGAAAATCGAGATTGCTGTATGCTCTGCCAGGATTTCTTTCCCCCATGGCATGGCTCTGCCGTGCAAAAGGTCATGAGGGACCGTCCATAAATTACGTAACGTAAATTTGGAAGTATTTGAAATACCCCCTCTCACCCCTGTAACGCATCCGTATCTGGGCGCACTGACCCCCCCCCCCATAATTACGTAACACGGTATCACCCCTGTGTAAATGCAAGAAGAGAAATCGGTTACAGCCTTCAGGTAAAAAAAAAATTCATTTTGTGTCGTGTATTAAAATGTATGAGAATTAAAGTGAGAATTAGTTGTCGATGCAGACAGCACCTAACAAGATCGGGGGCAAAATTTTGAGTTAAGGAAGGAGGCACATTAGAGAAAATTTCTGATCGCAAGACGTACACACTGCCGTTTTGGATGGGCAAAAATGTACTGCGCCAGTGTAATTGTATTCTACAAAATACAACGGACCAGTTTTGAATATTTTGTTCGTAATCTTACAGATTCAATACAAAATGAAAACATTTCCATTTATTGTAACAACTAATAACTTCAAATTATTAGTTTTATAACTAATTAGATGATGTTTTAGTGTAAGTATCAAAAAGGGAAGTATTTCGACAAATCTTAAAAAAAGTAAAAAACAATGTTACGTAACACTAATCGAATACCTCCCTGCTCCCGTGTAACGCTGCCTCAAATCTCCTCCCCTCTCTAGCATTACGTAATTTATGGACGACCACTGATAAAAAAAGACATGAGTGAACAAGTCCCGTGCACAGATTTTGGCTGCTTCTGCACTGCAGCAGTTATCGCCTCGAACCACAACACGAGTTCTTGGTCTGCGACAGTGATCTGTGTACTAAGCAGAGTAGAGGCCACAGGTTTGAAAAGCGAGACCAGTTGCTGGCCACCGTGTTGCACGCAGAGCGAGAAGAAATATTTTGAAAGTGGCGTAAAGTAACAATTTCCAATGGTGACCAACGAAAAATAACACGAAGGTGTAATTGAAATAAAAGGTGCAATATTTAAATAAAAAGCTTTCAGCATCTGTTTCAATGATTTGTAACGTGATTATTTTGGAATATGGCTGCTTTTAAAAATTCCCGCTAATTGTGAAGCAAATTAGTGTGCATCAAGCTCATTGGCTGCAGAAGGATACAATACGCATAACTCACTCATGGCTTTTCATCATGCAAAACATTTCTATAATCTGAAACACCCGCTAATTTTAGATATGTGAAAGAAAGGAAGACTGTTATAACTTCAATAATTCTAATGTGAACAACTGTACACGTTCATTTCGAAGGAACACGGCATCGATAAGCTGGCTAGAGAAATAAATAATTCCCTTATTGGAAAACAACTACAAAATACTAGAAGTATGTTAAATCCGCGAATGTTTTCGATGACAACATGAAGTATGGGGTGCAATGGTGTGTGTGTACAGGAGAGGGAGAATGAGAACAAAACTAGTATTTATCCACGCATTACCAAGCTTACATGCTGAACTTGCTCCCTGTGAGCACGTAAATTGTTTTGTAAGCCCCTTTGATTACTAGTTATACTCAGATTTAATGTGATGTCCCTTAAAGGTCAAAAGACGAAAAGGGGACACTGTCATCCAATCGGAAGCTTCGTCATAACTTACATTTTTGGTATTGAAGCTCGTGATTGGATGACAGTGTCCCCTTCTCCTTCCAGTTTGTCGCGGATAGGGCGGTGCTCCGCTAGGGAAGATGTCTGGAGGGGGAAACAGTGCAAACCAGCGAGCTAGAATATACTACATAGAGTGGCTGAAGCGCCTCCATCTTTGAAGCCAATTGAAATCAGGTTTTTTTTGCTGTCAAAGCAGCGCCATCTGGGAAACAAAGTATTGTAGCATTGGCGTTGGGCGTGGATTGCTGTTGGCGCTGGTTACGCCCAGGTCACACCACTACTCGTGTATGTTTTGACTTCAAAAACATGGCGGCCACTAGTTCGGCGAGCCTCCACCAAGAGCGGTGTAACTAGGAACAGCCACTCTATGCAGTATATTCTAGCTCGTTGGTACAAACCGACATGTAGGTCGGCGCCGGGTCTCACGTTGTGGAGGGAAAGGAACACTGCAACTTCTTGGTAAAGCATGCACTAAACTTACGGGACTAATGACCACATAGTACTTGAAGAGCCCTTAATAATGATAAATCAATCGACCACTTTTCTCTTGATCCACTTGATATGGTCTCTTGTGTTACTTCGGAGCAATAAAATTAATTGCATGTGATGATGATGATGCATAAAACGCTGCATGCAGCTACTTACTGTTTTGACGCAAGTAAATTCTAAAGAATTCTAAGCCTCGTGGTATCGATAGTTCCAACGATTCGATAGTTTGAGACAGGCTAGAACTACAGCAGCCCAAAGAACTATTCCGTCCAGCATAACTCCTTTTTCTATCTCCTCATCGCAAGTCTCTTTAATCCCGTACAGTTCACAATTCACCAGGTGAAACTTCCAAGTATTTCTCCCTAATTTTCCATAAGTAGACCAGTGCGTACATTCTCTCTTTTTTGTTTGTTTCTTTGTATTATTGTGTACGTCTGTACCGAATGTCATCACATCAGTGGTTTTGTACGCTGTATCAGAAAAAATATTTAATAAAAAAATATTAGCCGGATTGATTGCTTGATTAGCAATTTCGGACGAGTCAACTGCTAAAGTCATTAGTCCCTTGGGCGTAGAGCATGTTTTTATCGCGGGAGGTGGCAGAGATCTTCACCCCCTGGATGGCGAGATCCGACGCCGACCTACCGTCAGCTTGCGAGTTTTCTCCAATCAGGCATCTCCCACCAGCGGGACAAGCTCTAAGCTCCCGACCGGTCCCCGGGCGTATGTGGTAGTGTAGTGCATGTAAGTGTGTGTGTAGGTAAGGGGGGGGGATGTAACTAGGAACAGGAAGGAAAATATCAGGCGCGGTCCGTGGTCCATTTGTGTTGCTCTGCCGATCAGAGCAGCCGGCCTATAGAATTCCCCCAGACAACGACTGAACTCGATCTAGCAATCTAGATAGTTCCGAAAATGCAGCCACAGGCGGATCTCAAACCCCTGGCCTTCTCTTTCAGAGGCACTGCAGTGACATCAGATGATATTAATCGCGCAAATTTTCGTGAACGATGACCGTCCTTCCCCCTCTCACAACAGTTGAAGGCAAAAGCTCGCAGCGAACACGGATGACAACATTCCAAACATAACTTCACTGGCGCGAAATAGAAACTATTTTCTGGTGAAAACCCAAAACTTCTGTCCATGATTTTCTATAAAAAATCTAAAGAAATGACCGAATCAGGTAAAGATCTTTACTAGGCTGTCCGGGTAACGCCACGTCCATGGCGAAGGTGCCGTCCATGGCACCTTTGCCATGGACGCGGCGTCACCCGGACAGACTAGTAAATACTGACTCCGGCCGCGGAAGCCTACGCTCTCACAGGTAAAGATCCATCATTGGAGATACCTCAAACTCCTGAGAAAGTTAGAACGTAAATTATTGAGAAATTTGCAAGGCATGACTGATTCTTCAGATACTGGCTTTGTTTCATAAAATCTAGTGGCCGATTTCGTTACTAATACCCCCACTCTACCAGCATTTTTAAATCCATCGTTCAAGAAAAGTTGCGCGAGTAATGTCATCTAAGTCGGTTTCGACGAAAGCTGGAGCGCTTGGCTGTCGATGCACTTCAGGCTCGGATATCGCCTGACACCTAGCAAGATCCTACACAATGATGGGCGATTTAATCGCAATTAGTACAACAATCTATTATTTTATATATTAATCGAACAATTAAATTCGATTATTTTTACACCCATTAATTTTACACATCGATTAACTTTTCCGATTTTTATCTCGATTATTTGAATTCGAATATTAATTTTCAAGTCTTGCAAAATATGAAAGTACATATCTACTTTTGACCTTTAGTAACGGAATTCCTCATCTGGTTACCTCTCTCCAACTGCAGAACATAATAGAGACATACATACGCCATTAATTTCATGTTAGTAAAACTAGATAAATGAAAAGTCACTATGTATTTTCTAATATTTTAGTGATCGTATTACATTCAGTATGAAATAA